CATGACAGTGATATGCATGTAATAGATCACATTCACATCATTTTGCTTAGTGAGAGTAATGCAGTGGAGACACGTTGCTTCTGTAATCAAGCATATCTTCAATTGTCTACAGTATGCGGAACTCAAGCCAGTACTTGCTTGACTTATTTAGAGGCCCAAACATTAAGGGAGACATGTGCCACTCCGGTCCTTAAGCAGGTATTTCTTCGGTTTGGCTCTCATATGCCACTTACATATAGAATCTTGACCATTACGAATCAGGCTGAGCATGAACTCACCTCTTCCTCAAGTAATACATCTAACTGGTTAGGCATCTATAAGTATCTCTACAACTGTTTCACTTCATGAGCAGGATTTAGTCTTCTTACGCATGCATCAAACTTAATTATGCATCTTTCTGGCCTTCTGTAAACCGGGATAGTGTTTACTGAGTCAATAACTTAATTATCACCAAATGATTCATGGTCTCTACTCGGTGGGAATTGCAGATAACTTGAGAGTGTCAGTGACATAATTTCCAAGTTTCAAATAAAGGAAGATGTAGAAAACAAGTGATGCACCTTTTGTTCAAATCATTCTGGAATTGATTCACTGTTCCTTCTTTTCGTGCTTTCAACACTCACGGCTTTCATGATTCTTAATTTGAGTTATTTATTTTCTAGCTTTCAAGAAGTATATACAGTGAGGTTGTATCTTTAAATATCAGAAAAGATTTTTATTTGTCCGATGCTGCTTTCCTATTTTTGGTCTGGGATTAAGGTGCATAACAGACTCGGAGGTTTAAGTGAATCCAATTACAATGGATGTATATGTTAGCATATTTCTGATATTTTAAATATAAGGCACTTTATGGATTTATAGTGTTATAAATGTACCATTTTAACATAACTATTCATGATAATTATTGCCATGCCTGAACAAGTTATGTAGCTCAACTAAGCCTTCTTGAATTTCATGCCATTCATATTTGACAATGATGATTAGGGACTAACAGTTGAATGTGTTAAACCCCATATCATAACCCACCCTACTCTTTTGTTTATCTTGAATAATTGATTATGTGTAATGACTTGTATGGTTTGATTAGGTTAGGAGTGATGTTACAAGATACCGTTATGGGGACGAGCAGCATTTGGATGAGGCACTTAAACGAATTTTCCAGTATGGCCTGGTAAGTCTTCAGCATATATGAACATGGAGTTGGAAAATGTTCGTAGATATGAGATTGAAAGTGGAGATTCTCATTTTGAGATGGAAACTTCTTTTGATTCCAAATCTTCTCCTGTTTGAATCCTTCCCATGTAGCCTCCAAGTTCTCATATTTGGTAACATTTAATTGGACTCAAGATGCTTCAAGTTCTCCTCCATATCTAATACTGGCTCTTCATTTTAGGGTGGAGGAATCCCACGGAGAAGTGCACCTATTCTACAAATGATCCGTGAGGAGGTATGGTTCTTTACTTTGGATTTAGTTGGGAGGAAAAAAGAAGTCTATTCTTGCTTGAAATAAAGCAATTTGCATCATTAGAACCAGAATCTTCACCATAATTTACATCTCTACGTCAAGGTTCAGTATATTTCTTATTTATTTACATTTGATGTCCGTTTCTCTTTTGCTTCCACCTTACTTTGATACCTTGTACAGATCACGGATGATGGTAAATACTGTCTAGTGCTTGCGTTTGAGGCTAAGGCTTTGCAACTGTCAGACTTTGAGAAAAGACAGGTGAAGTAATAGCTTGATAATCATATTCAAAATTTTCCCTCTAGCTAATTGATTTATGGTTGAGCTTCTTACACAAAGTTGTTTTTACTCATTTGAGTTTGCTGAGGATTAAGGCGAACTGTTTTAGGTTATCTATTTTTAGCTTATAAGTAGGTAAGGCTTATCGGTCTAGAAGTTTATAAATTCGTTAAAGAGAAGTGAAAATAATGTCTTGTTTAGTGAGAGTTTTTTTTTTTTTAAAACTCTATATATATAGTGATTATTTCCTAAAAAATACCGTTAAATTGAAAAGTTAACAAAATGATAAAGAGAATACAAAAATAATAATTTAATAATGTATAATACAGATATTTAGGTTAAAATTATAAAAGACAATTGACTTTTTGACATAACTTATAAAACAAAAGAATAACAGAACACTAATGATAAGTTTCGATAATGGTCTGCAGGAAAAATTTGCTTCATTTTTTGGGCCAGGGATCACCGCACAAGTTGGTTAGTCTTAACCACATCTAATGCCTCTGTTAAGAGATGTAAAATCTTAAGAGATTTTTGAGTCATTCTGAACTTTTGGATTCAGGGAAGGGAGAGAACGATCATGTGTACGAAGTTCGACTCATTTCCAACGCAAGCTCCGAAGGGTCAAGTTCATGAAGTTCATGAAGATTCCATCTGGTCATGTTTCTGATCTTGTCCTGTGGAAATTTTGTACATGTTCAGATTCATCACGGATTATACACTTCTGAATCAGTATAGAACATTGGAGAAATAGGAAGTAACGCAGATGGTAATGGAAAAACGAAATTGCCATAGAATTGAGCCATTTTATTACTCTTGAGAATTTTTTTTTTTTTTTTTGAACTCTGTAACTATATGCAGACTACATGCAAAAACCGGTATGTATTTTAAAAATTCAAATTTGATTAAAAAATAAAATAGCTGGATCATTTTAA